AAAAAAAAAAAAAAGAAAGAAAAGAGGAGATTGTTAGAAATTAATTTCAGAACCCAAAGATAAAAAGCACTGACATTTTGGTGTTACCTACCAGCCCTCCTAAGAATCTCAGCTAATTTCTACTTTCTCTAGTTATCAGGACTTGTAAGTGCCCTTTCCCTTTTACCTTAACCTCAATTATATTATCTGTGTTTTATCCTTTTGTGTACTATGGTGGACAAAAATGGCATCTCATTTGCATTTCCCTACTGGTGAGGTTTAGTAACTCTCCATTTGTGGATAGAGTGTTCACATTTTTTTTTTAGCCTTGAATCTATTTCATTAACCAAAGAAAAAAATTAAGACCCATTGAACCTTAGTGACTTCTTATGATCCACTAACAAGCACAACTAGGGTATTGACCTTTATTTTTCTGAATTTCATTTTCACATCATCTACCTAGATTTATCTAAGGTTGCCATTTCCTATCTAAGGCTTTGTTGCAGCTCTTTATATAGTATAGATATCTATCAGTTCCCCCAAAGATTAAGCCTTCTTTGCCTTTGTTATGCTTTATTATGGCACATTTCATTAGAGAAATATATATATATATATTTGAGGAGTGTGTGTGTGTGTGTGTGTGTGTGTGTGTGTGTGTTTGGTTTTTTGAGAGGAGGTCTCACTATATAGCTCAGGTTGACCTTGAACCCCCAGAGATCATCCTGCCTGTCCTGAGTGTTGGGATTACAGACATTCATTACACTCAGCTAGTTGTAGTGTTTTTATACTCAAGTATGTCAACTACTTTTCATAAGCTTTAGCTTGCTTATGGAAGCCTTCATTAACTCAAGATTTTAAAAATATTCAGTTCATTCTTCAAATACTGATGTAACTTTTTATGATTAGGTATTAATTTCATCAAGATGATATGCAGTAGTTATCTGTATGTTTCCAAATCGATAGTGTGTTGTCTTGACTAAATTTTCCTTCCTTTTCTTTCCTCCCTCCCTCCCTCCCTCTCTCCCTTCCTCACTTTCTCTCGTTTTTTTTGAGCTGGGGTCTTACAGTGTTGCCTAGCTGGTGTTGAACTCCTGAACCCAAACAGTCCCTGCCCCACCCCCAGCCCTATAGATATCTGTCACTGCTAGCCTGTCCCAACATGCCTAGCTGGACCCAGAGTTCCTCAATCCTAAAGTTACCTGTAGCTGAGAGACTTGAAGGTAGTCTAAAGCAGGCCTGGATAGTCCTTTGAACAAGTGAAAACTTTTTTGGTCCTTTTTCTGCTTACCTACTCAGTGTACTTTTTATTTACTCTGAATGAGAATGTGATGGCATGTTTTGATTGCCTGCTTTTCCTCAGCCTCTTCTCACCTACTCAGTGTTTTTCATAGCATATTCCCAGGGTTCCTTGGGTGGGGGAGTACCATCTCTGCTTCATTTGTCACAACTTCATAGAGAGCTCTTATGTCCATTGACTTCTAGGTAAAGTTTGTGTGAACAAATATTTCAGCTATGGAAAGTGGTTAAGAGCATTCAATCGATCTTTTTTTCCCCTATAGGTCCTTCAGAAAAGTATGATCATTGGAGTGATTGAAGGTGGAGATGTGATGGAGGAGCGGCTGAGGTCGGCAAGAGAGACAGCCAAGCGGCCTGTCGGTGGCTTCCTCCTGGACGGCTTCCAAGGGAATCCGGCAACCCTGGAGACCAGGTTGCAGTTGCTGTCATCAGTCACTGCAGAGCTGCCAGAGGACAAACCAAGGCTAGTGTTGGGTTAGGGTGCAGGCTGGCCTTGTGGGGTGCAGGCTAGGCATGTTCAGCCCATGTGCCGAGTGCAGTCTGCATATGAGCGTGCCTTCTGATGTTCTGTTATGTCCTTTCTTAGCAGACTGTGAGGGAAGTTTGTATCAAGGCTGATACAAAATGCAGAGCAGAGGATAATTGTCATGTGTATTCATTTGTTGCTCCTAAGTAAGGACAACTGTTATGCTATTTCATCTCATACACCAAGTACGATGTTGTTTTTATTCATTATAACACAGTACTTGGCGGCAAGTTTGAGGCAAGTGAGGTTCTAGTTTAAATCAAGAAAGGATGAGGTCAGGGCTGGGGAACCTCACACAATGAGAATTATTCTAGTTAGAACTTTTCAGAAGTTCTTAGATTTGAAACAGGTCGTGAAATTGAGGGGATTGGCAGCACTGGTGGGCTGGTTCTTAGATGGCCATAGATTGCTCACCACATACTGGTAAGAAGAGATGATCTGAAGTTTCAAGGTAGAAATTCTGAGTTTCTAAATGCACTTGATGTCCTATTAAGCTACTGTTCTCTCTCTCTGTTTTTTTTTTAATTTTAAACACAAAAAATTTTCCAAACAAGATAATAGGAAGGTAACGATGGTTAATACATTGCATATTGTTACCTTTAAATTACTCAGAGTGGGCCGGGGAGATGGCGCAGTAGAATAAGCGCTTCCCTGGCAAGCACAAGGGTCTGAGTTCAATCCCCGGTTCCACCAAAAAAAAAAAAAAAAAAATTACTCAGAGTACAAGATATCAATATTTAAATGTCCAAACAATATTAGCACACATCTTTGTTTTCAATGAATTAAGAAAAATTAGTAGTATAACTAGTATTTATTTATTGCTTTTCCCTTCTTTTTTCCATTCTTCATCCCTGTCATCCTTTTGAAGTTCTTTCCCATTTTACAATATCTGTTGTATATTTTGTATCTTATTTACACTTTCAGGTTTGTTTTTTTTTTTTTAAATTTAGTACAGGGTCTCACTGTACAGATCCGACTCATAGTGATCCTCCTGTTTTCGGCCTCCCAAGCATTGGGATTACAGGTGTGTGCCACCATGTCCAGTCTCAGTGGCTGTCTCACTCATAGGGTCAGCAAGGCAAACCGGGGTCGAACCCCAGTCCCTGATGCAGTGTTTATATATGTGCATCTGGTTTATACTTCTGATTATGATCTCAAGTTGTATCCATTTACTATAAAAGTCTCCATTTTATCCTTTATGGCTGAGTAGTACTCCAGTATATAAAAACACCACATCTTTTTTTATCCATTCCTTGGTTGAAGATTTTTGGGGTTATTTCCAACATCTAACTGTGACACATTGTGCTTCTATAAACATGGGTGCACATATCACTGGGGTACAATGATTTTAATTCTTCTGGGAAGATACCCAGAAGGGGAATAGCTTTATCAAATGGGACCTACCTCCAATTCCACTTTTTGGAGGGATTGCCACACTGATTTCCACAGTGGCTGCACAGTGGTTACACTCCCAGCAACAGTGGAGGAGGATGCCTTTTCCCCCCTACCTCCTCCAGCATTCGTTATTGGTTGATTTCTTGATATAGTCATTCTTTGTGGAATGAGATGGCTTCTCTGTTGTTTTAATTTGTGTCTCTTGAATGCTAATGATGTTAAATATGTTTTCATATATTTATTTGTTGTTTCTATTTCATTTGACAAATATCTATTCATCTCTGATGCCCATTTTTGGATTGGGCTTTAAATTTGGGAGGCCACGTTTTTCTGAGTTCCTTATATGTTCGTTCGTTCTTTCTTTCTTTCTTTCTTTCTTTCTTTCTTTCTTTCTTTCTTTTTTTGTGGTACCGGGGATTGAACTCAGGACACTGTGCTTGCCAGGCAAGTGCTTATTGTACAGCTATCTCCCCGGCCCCTCCTTATATGTTCTCAGTAGTAATCTTTTGGCCGCGTGGTGAGAAGCTCTATATAGTCTGCACTAGCAGCCATGCCGTCTAAGGGCCCGCTGCAATCCATGCAGGTCTTCAGTTGGAAGAAGACAGCCACAGCCGTGGCACACTGCAAGCAGGGCAACGGCCTCATCAAGGTGAATGGGCATCCCCTGGAGATGATCAAGCCGTGCACGCTGCAGTATAAGTTACTGGAGACTGTTCTACTGCTGGGCAAGGAGCAGTTTGCTGGTGTTGACATCCATGTCCATGTGAAGGGTGGTGGTCATGTTGCCCAGATTTATGCTGTCCATCAGTCCATCTCCAAAGTTCTGGTGGCCTATTACCAGAAATACGTTGATGAGGCTCCCAAGAAAGAGATCGAAGATATTCTCATCCCAGTGTGACCAGACCCTGTTCGTAGCTGACCCCCATCACTGCAGATCCAAAAAGTTTGGAGGCCCTGGTGCCCATGCTCGTTACCAGAAATCCTACTGATAAGCTCACTATAAGAATCACCGTTGGCCTTTGTAATAAACATGGAATTTTGAGGTTGCAAGGACTATGTCTAAAAAAAAAAAAAAAAAAAATAGTAATTTTTTGTCTGGGGAACAGCCTGCAAACATTTTTTCCCATATTGTGTCTTATCTCTTCATGGTGTTAGTGGTTTCTCTTGTAGTGCAAAAGCTTTTTAATATGAGACCCCAGTTGTTGATTCTTTGCGATAATTCCTGTGCTATCTGGGTTTTATTCTTTGCCTACACCAGTGTCTTGAAGAATTTTACTACTCTGTCTTCCAGCAGATTTAGTATTTCTGTTTTAATACTTAGATCTTTGATCCATTTCAAATTTAGCTTCATGCATGTTGAAAGATAGGGGTCCAGTTTTTATCTTTAGCATCTGCTCAGCCAGTTTTTCCAGCACCATTTATTAAAGAGGCTTGCTTTCTTCCAGTTAGTGTGTTTAACACCTTTGTGAAAGTCAAGGTGGCTCTGTATATCTGGGGTTTTTGCATCTTCTGATCTGTTCCACTGATCTTTGAGTCTGTTTTGCTAGTACTATGTTATTTTTATCATAGTATGTTCGTAGTATAATTTCACGTCAAGGATTGTGATGTCCCCTGCCTTGGCTTTGTTGCCCAGAATTGCCTTTGCTATTCTAGGTTTCTTGTGGTTCCAAATGAATTTTAAAATTATTTTCTCTAGTCCTGTGATATATGCTGTTGGACTTACATTAAAAAGTTTTCGAAGTGTGGCCTTTTCCCACTGTATTGTTTCTTCCTTTCCAAGAGCAAGGGATATCTTTCCATTTTCTGACATCATCTTCAATCTCCTTTTTTAGAATACTGTAGTTTTCAATGTAGATCTATTCATAACTATCTTTTTTTTTGATACTATGGTGAAAGGTGTTGTATTCCTAATTTCCCTTGTGAGTTTGTTTTTTCTGTACAGTAAGGTAATTGATTTTTGACTATGTATCCAAGTATGCTACTGAATTTGCTTATTAAGTCTTGTAGTTTTGGGGCTGGGGAGATGGCTCAGTGGAATAAGTGCTTCCCTGGCAAGTACAAGGGCCTGAATTCAACCCCCTGTTCTAAGAAAAAAAAAAAAAAAAAAATTCTTGTAGTTTTCCAGTGAAATTTTGGAGGTCTCTGTGTAGAGCATTGTGCCATCTGTAAATAATGATAATTTAACCTCTTCCTTTCCTATTGTTATTCCTTTTATCTCTTTCTCTTGTCTGATTGCTCTGGCTGAAGTTTTTAGGACTATGTTGAATAAGAGTAGAGACAGTGGATATTCCTTGTCTTGTTCCTGATGTTAAAGAGAAGAAAGCTTTCAGTTTTTGTCCATTAAGTACAATATTGGCTGTTGGTTTGTCATAGATGACTTTTATCAGATTGAGATAAAGACTACCTGTTTCTATTGGGTTTTTATCATGCATGGGTGCTGGACTTTGTCAAAAGCTTTATCTGCCTCTATTGAGATGATTATATTTTGTCCTTGGCTCTATTAGTATGGTATATCACATTTATTGATTTACATATGTTGAACCATCCCTGCCTCCTTGGGATGAATCTTACTTTTTCATAATGAATTATCTTCTTGATGATTTATTGCATCTTTTTTTTCCACTTCCATTGATTTCTTTTTATTTTTTTATTTTAAAGAAGAAAAAAAAAACCCCAAGAAAACAGAAACAAAGCAACATAAAACAATAAAGATGGCACAGAATTTCAAAACAAGCATAGAAATTTAACAATGGTTGTTATATTACATACTGTTTTCATCAGATTTCTTTTCATGAGTGCTAACCACAAGCCTGTCTTCTATATCATTGGCTTACCTTGCTGTGGCTACTTTGAGTGAAAATTTTGTATTCCTGGATATCTGCTTGAATCTGCCCTATGTATTCCATTTTTTTCCTATGTTGAATATTCATGGCTTCCATAATTTTCTTAAGCTCCTCTATTTTTTGTCTGTATCTGCTCTAGAGTTACTAAGCATGATTTTCATTATGGACAACATCTCTGTAGTTATCTGAGAAATTATTTCTGATTTGATTTTTTTTTCCTAGAGCCTCATCCAATTACTTTGTTGTTACTACTGCAAAGAGGTGAGATAGGTGGCTTTCAGATTGTCCCACCTCATTGCCCCCTGAGTTTTCCTTTGGTGTATAGATGTCTAGGGTTAGATGTTATTTAAGTGTCTTCTTTTTTTTTTAGTCTGATTCCTGGATTAATGCTTGTACATTGCCTATGCTGGGTTACTTTATTGCTAATACTTAAAACTCTTGGGAAATGACTACTTCAGTGAGGTATCTTCCAGATATAACTGGCATTTGGGTTTTGAATCTGTTGCAAGATCCTATCTCTTCAGTTTGTTGGGGAGGCGTAGTTGCTGCCTGTTTGACCCAACCCGTTTCTTTGGCATTGTGCCATAGTATTTTTTGTGACCCTTAGTCACAGTCTTAGAATACCAAGAGGAACAGCATTTTAGAATAATGACGTCACTGTGGACTAGAGTAGTACTTTAGCAATGACAGCATCAAACAGCCTTAGAAAATGACATATTGAGTTAACCATTAACTTGTTACCTTTAACTATATGAACTAGATTTGTGATTATATAATAAAATCTAAACAAACGAGAAAATTATGTGCAATATATATACTTAATATGTGAATTTTGCCCTCAGGAGTTGTCTTGGTTACTCTTCTCTCATCACTGGGACAAAATACCTGATACCCTACTTTAAGGAAGGAAAGGTTTATTTAGCTCACAGTTAGTGGAGGTTTCAGTCCATACTCAGCCGGCTCCAAGGTAGAGTGGCACAGAGGGCAGCCATTCCTGGCGGTAGAAAACAGCAAAGAGCAAAGAGAAGGGTGGCGGCTAAGGTAGTACAGGCAAGCCTTTCCCCTCCTTACATTGTAATGCAGAGTACCCACATCAGGGTGGGAATAGCACTCACACCTGTATTCAGAGCATTCGATCCAGAATTAATCACAAACTCTAGAAGCCACACCATGACTACATGAGGCTTTAGGGGGGACAACTAGACACAAACCCTAACAGGAGTTAAATTTTAAAATGGGTCAGGGAGAAAATAGAAAAGTCAAAGAGGATATTAGAAGTAAAGCTGGAGGACAACAGGGAATCACCATTCCACCATCTTCAGAATGCCCCTTCCTGATCTCTCTCTCTCTCTCTCTCTCTCTCTCTCTCTCTCTCTCTCCCTCCCTCCCTCCCTCCCTCCCTCCCCCTTTCTTCCTCTCTATAGGAGAATCTGGAGGTTATTATGTTAAAACACACAAATATTACAGGATCTCACCCATATATGGGATCTTAAAATCTTGATCTCATTAAAGTAGAGTACGGTGGTGGTTATCAGAGCCTGGGGCAATTAGGGAAAGGTGGGGATTGGAAGATGTTAGTCAAAGACACATAATTATAATTTGGAAGAAAATGTTTAACAGATCTGTTGTTCAGCTCGGTGACCATAGTTAATGATGACATATTGTATTAAAAATACAAAAAATAAAAGATATTTACATGATAATTTGTTAATTAGCTAGATGTAGCCATCTTACAGGATATATATTTCTAAACATGCTATACATGACAAGCTCATATAGTTTAATTTGTCAGTTTTTTTTAAAAAACAACAAAAAACAGTGTAGTCTTTTATCCCACTTGATGTAATACACTGTTTCCCTGAAAAAAATAGTAGCAAGTTTGACTATGGTGTGCTGCTTTAGACTCCTTACAGGCGATTGCAATTTTCATGTTTTTAATAAGCCAGGTATGACGTACAATAAAGAACATGAATGATAAAGCTCAGCGCAGTCTTACATGTGAACATACGTATGTGAAGACCACCCAGAACAGAGTATTTTCCTCACCCCACCATTCTTGTTCCCTCAGTTTTAAACTTGTTTTTTGTGTTCATTACACCCACTCCTGTGCCTGTGTCATTCTGGTACAGATAACAACTCAGCACTAGTATTTGTAGTCATTTTTCTAGACTTTTATGTTAAGTGCTCACAGATGTCTGTTACTGAATGTGAAAGCTGGGATTGTTTTTCTTTCTGTGAGTGCAGGAATGCCAGCTTCACTTGGAGAGGAGTTGTAAAACATTACATGACTTGAAGGGAACTGTAGTCAGGAAAACTGGCATGTATTTATGGGTTCTGCTTATTTAATATTACATAAGCCTTTTGTGAACTTCTTTTAGAAATCAAAGAGTATGTAAGCTTTTCTCTTTAGTTTATGAAAAGGACTATGGGTAAGAAAGCAAACATTAAAAAATAGTTCTAGGCAGCCAGTCTTGAGCCCTATATTTTGTTTTTGTGGCCAATTCTGGTTGAGAATTATTAAAACTCCCAGAATGCTTTACTCATTACCTTTGAAAACACCATTTTATCTCATAGTACAGACTTTTTATTAATGGATTTTTTAAAAAATCCAGCTAGATTCTTAGATTCTTAGATTCTTTGGCCAGAGTTGAAATTCAGAGAGCAAGGGCTGCTTATGAATGAACCTGCAAAGTATAGACAGAATGTCTTTCTTGAACCAATTATTAAAAAACTATATATGTGGGCAAAATACAGTTAAAATAAGGAAATTATTCGACAGAAAAGTGAAGCGTACAACTTTGCCCTAACAGGCATCTGTTTAGTACATAGATTGACTATAAAGTTCATGTCACTGTTCTTATTGTTACTTTCACAGGCTCATTTGTGGTGTCAGCCGGCCAGAGGAAGTGCTTGAGTGTGTTGAAAGAGGCGTGGATGTATTTGAGAGTTTTTTTCCCTATCTAGTGACAGAGCGGGGATGTGCTTTGACATTCAACTTTGATTACCAGCCGAATCCTGAAGAGACATGTAGGTCTTTTGAAGTTAATCTCTGTCTTACAATTAAGTTTTTTCTATTTCCTATTAATTTTGGCCCGAGTCACAAGACAAAAATATGTGAACATAAAGCTAGTCTTTTATAAAGTTTTATCTTTGTGTCTTATCTGTATGCCCCCGTATGTTGGCACATAAAACTAGGCACTTAATACTATAAATACAGCTCATCAATATTAGGATGTGAGTTTGTAGTGAGCAAAAACAAGACCTCTTCTGTTAGCAGCATGAAAGCAGAACAGAGTACATTATGATGAAAACCTAAGAAGAACGCCTTTGAACTGCTTTGTAAAGGTTAATTTGTTTTTTCACAGAAGAGTTTTTGTTTGCTTTTTGCAAATCCCATGCAATTAAATTACAGAGACTCACCATCATCTGATCCTTGTGTTGCTTTTACTTTTTGGGGTTCTTTTGCACACTGAGATGTGAAAACTTTTTCCTCTGCTAATATTGCTTTGAAACACTGCCATTTTCTTTTATCATTTAGCTATTTAGAAGTCAAGGCAAGCTCTTTCAGAGTCTAACACTCAGCTGGCAGTGGAAAAGGACCCAGGACGTAGGCTGTGGCAACAGCGCCTTGAAGTAGTTCTAGAAAGTGTGGCCACCCCAGCCTGCCCTCTGGCTCCACAGAGGGGCTTTTCCTTTCTTGTTTCTGTGTTGCTTTGAAGTGTTCCTCAACCACTTCCAACATTAAATCTGAATAGGACCCTGGACTCCTTTAAAGATTTTTATTCCCCACAGGTGATATAAATTTCATTCAGAAGATGTCGCAGTTTTTAAAAGCAATTTAGGCATTAATCTAAATCATTTTATTTCTGGAAATAAAATAAATCAGGTTGATCAAGTTCTTATACATAGGAGGTCAATTTTACTGTCCTTTTAGACAGACCAGAACATAATGTATGTGGATAGGCAAGCCATTAACACTTTATACATTTTCATGACTTCATTTACAAACTAAATTATGTCCACCAGGACAGTGATAACTATTAGTCATTCAGTGCCATGAATATGCAAAGCTCCAAGAAGAACCTGATACCAAGTTCTCAGGAATGAACAAATTCCATTTTGGCTAGAGAAAACCGACTTTGTTCATGATTAGGAAAACTGAAAATGTTTGAACATTTTTATCAAAGAATTATTGATCATTATATGATGTGTATGTATGTTGTAAGTCTTTTGCCAGTTACATAGTTAAAATTCTAAAGTAAATTGCCAGCATTTTCACCAAATGACAAGAGTTTTTCAAAATGTCAGGGTTTTATTATGTTTTCCTACATCAACACATAAATTCACAAGAACAACCTCTGTGCTCAGTGTTCAGACCACTTCTCTGCTGCCTTTGATGAGGACAAAGGGCCATGTACCTGCTGTCATCCGGCCATTGCTGAGATTGTTATCATTGATGTGCCTACCTTTGGCAGTTCTAGAAATGTTCTTCCGTGAGGCAAGGGAGCAACTCAAGTTCTTGGTAATTTGCATTCTCTGGAGTCATAGAGTCTCCATACAGAATACATAAATTGAAACGATATTCTGCTTCAATCTACTTGGAGTCAAAGCCTGATTTATTTGCATGTACATTATGAGAAGGCCTAGCAGTGACCCAGAACACATATGTGCACACACACTGTACTCTTAAAAATCGTTCCTTGATGCTAAGATTATACATTAAAATAATTGTAACCATAATTTGTTTAGCCATTGTTGATTATCTTAAATCATTTTGATGCTGGAGATAAATACATCTGTGTCCATCTGGGAGCAGATTGGTATTTTTATTTTCTTGTGCTTTCCTTAGGATAAACTTTTAAGAGTGTAATTACAGAGTCAAAGGACATGAAATAATAATTGAAATTCTTCAACTGCCTACTCCTTATCTCATCTTCATTCAAGACTTTATGTTTGTGCTTCAGTACTACAACAAAATGGAATACAAGAAGAAGTAAAATGCGAGGATCAAATAAAGAAAATTAAAACAACTGATTGTAACCAAAATGTGACATCATTTGAAATTAATCTGAAGGAAAAAAAGTAAGACTTTTTTTCAAGTTCGGAGTTTGATTTCTGACTTTTTAAATTTTAGTCTGTTTTAAAAGTTTATGTAACTGTTCTCTTTTCAGTTTATGACTTCATAAAATATTTATAGTTGGATATCACTTAGGCCTTCTCAAATTTGGTTGCAGAAAAACTTTTGTTCTGCAGATGAGTTTGTGTGCTTTGTCAGAAAGCTAAGGTTAGATAACCATCACTTTAGAAAAGCTGTCAGAGAGATTAGACAGACCCAGTGTTTAGTGCCTTTTACTTTTCTTGATTACTTTAAATAATAACAGAGTGAAATAAGGATTTCCAGATACAGCACAATTTGTAAATTTTAAGAAATTTAAGTCATCTTTGCTATATACAGGTTATAAATTTTAACTAAAATATTTGCCTCAAGAGAGAATAAACTAACAGGGCCAGGGAGATAACTCAGCAGTCTTAAGCGCCTGCCTGGCGAGTGCAAGGACCAGGGTTCAATCCCTGGTACTGCATGCCGTGCCAGCCCTGGAACATTGGGTGTGCATGGTGGTACACGCCTGTAATCCCAGCTTTGCGGAGGCTGAGACAGGAGGATTACAATGGGTCCAAGCTGCATAGCAAGACCCTGTATCAAATTTAAAAAAGAAAAAAAAATTTTTTAAAAAGAATGAACCAAAGTATCTTGTAATTTTGCATTTGGCTGAGAGTGGTAATAATAACTACTAGTAGGTGGTTTTTCTGTGAATTTGGTACATTCTCTTTAGTTCTAGGTTGTTGGTTTTTCTGAAGGGATTTTCTAGGGATTCTAAGTTACTTTTTTTTTTTAAGTTATAAAATAGACTGCAAAACTTATAAAAGAATGGAAATCTAGTTCTTATTTATTTCCTTTTGGGACAGCTTAGTATTATGTCCGAAATGGTAAAATTAATTCATTTAACTTCTTGAAAAGTAGCCAAGACTCCTGTTTTTAAAATGTCAGCATGATATAAATGGTTGCTATTAAATTCTCTTTACATTGTAGATTTAATTGAAAATTGGATTATGCTTACTACCAGTGCTCAACTTGAAATTTTGGGGACTTAGAGATAAATTCTGACATTGCTCTTGACTGTAGTGTTGGCCAAGTCATTTAATTTCTCTTTAATAGCTGATAGAAGGTAACCTCTATATAAATTGATGCAGGTGTGCCCAGCAGCATTCAAGCACTTCTGCTATATTAAATCATTTCATCCCTGCAACCACTCTGGGAGGTAGGCTATTAATACCTTTGGCTCATGGTTGAGAGAAAAAGACACAGGAACATGTTCAGTGACTTGCCCACGTGAGTTATAGTGCTGGCTCTCAAACTCTGGCAGAGTAGCCCAAAACCTTCCCTCTAAATCTGTACAGTCTAGGGGATGGGGAGCTGGCTCAGTGGAATAAGCACTTGCCTGGCAAGTGCAGTGGCCTGAGTTTGATCCCTGCTTTCACAAAAAATA